GCATATGTTGGTCCATTTAGTCGTCCTTCAAAGAAATAGGGACCCACAAGTACATCGCCTATTATGCCAGCCCAAACATTTACCGAGACCGATGTTGAAAATGTGTTTCCCTAATCGCGTGAGGATTTTCATCGTCCCATATGTGCATATTATAGAAATTCTTCACGGGTAAATGTCGCCTCATCTGTTACACAAACATAAGCAGGAAAGTCTACTTGATTGGCACATTGCCGTAAAAACCATCTGCAGAAACGCATTCGTTGATCACAGTCCGGAGGTAAAATCTGTTGAACTGGTTGCAGATGATAGGGGTGCAACAGCTGGCGCCTTAAGATGCGATGTACGGTACGCGATAAGGTTCCTACTTGCTGTTCGAGTCGTCGAGTACTAATTGTGGGGTCTTCGTCAAGATTTTTCAACACTGCATCTTCAACATTAAGATTCACTTGCTGACCACGTCCTTCTCCTCGATGAATAACACTTCCCGTATCTCGCAACCGCTGAACGCACTGTAGGAATGTATTTGAATATGGGGGGTGACGTTGTGGTCACCGTTCCCGGTACAACCTAGTCGCCGCGAGCGCATTTTCTCCGGCTGCACCATACACTAACACCATATCGATACGTTCGGAAATAGTAAATGCATTGTTTTCTCGGTTCATTGTAAAACTAGTTTGTGCAGAAATTAAAAAATTAAGCAGAGTAAGAAATACAAATCTAGTTTTTAATGTAATCGGTACGCTATTCTTATTTTTTACTTCTTTATAGAAATTACACTATCGTGGAATTACAAAATAAAAAATTTTGTCTGGAATCTTTCACTTTTTAACACTGATGGGTCGATGGACGATGCTTAATATTTAATAATTAAGTGAATAGGTAATTAATTCAATACAAACACAAAATTAGTTGACTACACAAATTTTTTGACAATGTAACTTAAACCTTCTTTTGGTATTATTAGTATTAGATTATACCGACTTAAATTATAGGGTTGCATCTCGGGTCGCATAAAAACATTTACAAAGTTTTTAATAAATAACACAGGGTCGGCCTTCATTTTTGTTGAATAAATGAACTTTAATTTACAAAAAAAAAAAACGCGAAGATAGAACTTTTTCGTATAAGAGTTTTCTATTACAAATATCATAAGGGAGCTTTAGTTTAATTTTTATAGAATTTTCTTTTATACACCATGTAAACTATTTTTTTTTCTTACTGTGTGGATTTATTATGCAACGTAGAAAACATTCTAACAGAGTCAGAACAGATGGTCCCGGCAGACTTCTGGAGCAATGGTAGAGCTTCCTTCTGCTCCACAGAAAATGCAAGTACCAGATCAATAGGATACAGACCAGGGTTGCCAGCAGAATCTCCGGAGTTTTCCAAGTGCCTGCTTTGAAGTTTTGTTTCTTTACACCAGTTGATAAAGTTTCTTCCATGGCACAGAAAAAGCGAACTGGTTTTATGAAATATATTGTAATGAAATAAAACTGTTTAACAAGGAAATAATAAGTTAAAAGTGCATTGTACAAACAAAATGGAGCATAAATATTGAATTACTTTGTATTGTAAAAGAAAAATTATCGGAATTCTTAGTATGTGAGAGATTACTAAATTAAAATGATAATAAAGGAGACGCAAATATTACAAGTATAATAAAGTTAAATATAAACTAGACGGGAATTATCAATCAAATATTGTGCCTGACAATTTCTTATCAGAGAGTACATAATCAAAAACAATGATACACCTAACGTCACACATATGAAAGCTAAAATTCCAAAATATAATTTTATACATCTAAAAAACACCAATTCAGATAAATATAACCATTTGAAATAAAAATCACTTAACCATAGACCACCTAGACGGGTTATAGGGCGATTATGATGAAGGCAATTGGGAGCCTAGTCGGTAGCCCAGCCTAGCATCAGTCGTATCTGGAAACTTGGTATAAATAGAAGTGAACAAGTTGGTGAAGAGAGTTGAAAAATTCTCTTCTCTAGATAAGTAAAATAAGTAATATACAGGGTGTCCCTGAAAAGGATGGACAACGCTTGACCACAGGTTCCTTGGATGAAAATAAGACTATTTAGCCTAACTTACCTATATACAAAAATGCACGCCTACTGAGATATAGCCTTCTAAATATAGAACTGATAACCTAGTTTTTCTTAGAAACTTCAAATTTGGTATACATATATTTTTATATAAGGGCAATGTAAATATAGAATTTGGCGATAATACATATACTGGATGTTCTTTTTCTAGTGCTTGTGCGCCACTGGCTATCCCGTAATTTTTTTGTGTGTACGTCACTGACGACAGAATTTGTATTTTTAAAAATAAGCACTATTTTAGAAGATTTTTTGCCTCTTACAAAATTTTGATATCGTTTATGGATTTCGAGTAAAATTGGCATTTTTTACACATTAAATAATATAAAATCAGTTTAAGATAAATAGAACATTCTAGTACGAGGTGCCATATAACAGAGAAACAAATTCATAACAATAATTAAAAGGTTCTGTGTCAAGCTAGCTGTGATTTAATTTTAGCTTACTTTGTTTTTTATTGCAATTTATACTTTTGCTGAACAAACTGATATGTTAGTAGTTTTGGGTTATTGTGAAGGAAATTGTTGTGCTACTGTTCGAACATATGCTGAAAGATTTCCTAATCGAAGAACTCCAAATCACAAAACATTTGCTAATGCGGAGAGACGCCTTCGGGAAACAGGACGTTTTTTACCTGTAACATTAAATCGTGGATAATGTACGGCCGGAATTATTCAGCTGGAGGAACAAATTTTGGAAAGGGTCGAAGAAATTCCTCAAGTAAATAAAAGGCGTTTAGCGGCAGAGGTTGGCTTTCAAAAAGTTCCTTTAATAGAGTATTAAAAGACCAGTTATTACAGGTTACAGGTATTACAGGGTACAGGTAGGTATTACAGGTTATTAAAGGTCTAACAGGTGGATAGGTAGAGGAAATAATGCCCCTTTAAAATGGCCACCTCGATCCCCGGACCTAAACCCATGTAATTATTTCCTTTGGGGAGCGTTGCGGACCACAGTTTATAACTTTTCAGTAAATACAGAAAACGAATAATGGGAAAGAATACAACATGAAATTAGTGTTATGAGAGGTAATGCACAATTATTGGATAAAATTCATTTTCATTTTCGAAGAACTAATGCTTGCGTTTAAGAACAAGGAAGTAACTTTGAGCATTTACTGTAATATTATTTTAATGTGATTACAAATATCAATTTAGGTTTATTTAAAATGTTAATGTTGACTTTCTTACATTAGTTGATATTGTTTATTTAAAATACTAGTGTTGATTTTTTATTTTATTCATTGATAATACCAATATTAAAAATGTGTAGTTATTTTTTTTTAATGTGACGTTTTTTCATTATTGTTCCCTGTTTTGAGGCTGCAGTTATAAATTATTTTTTACAAATCGGAATTTTTGCCTATATTTAATGTATAAAAAATGCCAGTTTTACTCGAAATCCATAAACGATATCAAAATTTTGTAAGAGCAAAAAAATCTTCTAAATTAATGCTTATTTTTAAAAATATAAATTCTGTCATCATTGGCGCACACACAAAAAAGTTACGGGATATCTATTCTATATTTAGCACTTTTGTATATATGTAAGTTAGGCTAAAGTCTTATTTTCATCCAAGGAACCTGTGTTCAAGCGTTGTCCATCCTTTTCAGGGACACCCTGTATAAAACATAAATTTGAGTCATTACCTATATACGCCATTTCTTGGTTAAGGTCAGAGTATTCCAGGGTTGACTTTATAATTTTGTTCCCACGCATAGTGTAATGGTAAACGTGATATTATTCTAAATTGTTAATAAAATAATGAATAAATGATTGTAACGTATTTTTAATAATTATTTACTTTAGGTAAAAGTTTCCGATTTATATGAAATTTTTCAAATTCCCGTAAATTTGTGGGAACTGAAAATTAGTGTGATATTATTTTTTGCGATCGAAAAAATAATAAAAAATTAATTTCAAATCCATGCTCAGCACCCTGGAAAAGCGGGGTTGGCAAAATTTTATTAAAAGATCACAGTTTTCTGATAAAATAATTAATTACCAAATTTTTATACTTGCTTCAATTTTTCGAATCTAATATTGTAATTTTTACTTATTCCCAAAGGATGTTGACATAAAGTACAGCTAGGTGAAAGCTTTTAAAAAACAGGATTGGGTATCATGTAATAAAAAACCTTTTGAATGTGAACATATTTGAAAATTTGCATGAACATATAATATGTATATAAAAAGTATATTGATGTGAGCATAAATCGTAAAGTCAAAATATTTATTTCAGTAAAATCTACGAAAAGAAAAATATTAAATAAACTAACATTACTTGAAGGACAATAAATATATTTAAATTATTTTGTAGGTTTATTTAATATAAGCAAGACATTAAAATATATTGTTTTCTGAATTCCAAACTTGAAAAATTAATATTTGTCATAAGTGTAAAAATATTGCTTAATCCGGACCTGTTCAAAGTATACGCGGTCAGATTACCCGTGCATTGGAATTAGATACAGCCAGTCTAGATGGCCCATGCAAACAATGCAACAGCTTTATTTTCATCATGAATCCGTTTCTGTTTTTTTATATCTCACATCCTCAGTATTATCGAACTTTAAAATCGAACACAGTTCACTGAAACGTAGGTACACCTCTAGAATTTCTCTACTGAAAAGTTCAAATGCATATTTGTACTGTCATTTCACATATACCGTAACATTTAACTAAATAGATTCGTTGTTCTAGATCTAGAGTCAACGTTATTAAAAAGGTCTCTGACAAGGACTTGACTTTTTTTATAAATAAATATCAGTGAATGTTGTTATGGATAACAACACAGAAAAGTTTTGTTAATATTCAATAAATTATGCGCTTTCGTTGAATGTATAAAGTTATTTTAATCATAATTTTCGCAAAAATATAAACTCTGAGATACCCGTTTAAATTTTATGTCTGGACTACTATTAGCATTAGAAACAACTTCTTTCAGTAACATTTTTAAATTCCCCTCGAAAAGCTAATACTTTACTCTTGGCACAAATTCACGTTTCCTTATTTACTAACCACCCTGTATGTTATTTTGAAAGTCTGAGTATGGCTGATGACTTTTCACGACAAGCAAAACTTTTTATGAAGAATAACTTTTTTCCTTAAAATGCGAAATAAGGAAAATTACAAGTATAGTTAATAGTCCACAGTACAGACCCCCTCTAGAAAGTTGATTACCACATACTTTATAACTTCTGAGGAGCTTCGTTTTGACGAGTCTACCACACTTTTCCTCTGCGACTTTTCTCGATTCCTCCGCTTTTCCACTCGGGAAAGTCCAAAAACATGGCAATTTCCGGGGGTCTTGAAAAGTCAAGACCACATCTTTTATTTTTAGCTCAAGTAACTCGAAATTTTGTTGCAAATGCCGGTTTCAATTTGTCCGACAGAAATTCTTCCGACATTGACGTGTCTACCGGTCGAAACATGCCAAAATAACAGGGTATTGAAAATCAATTACCACATAGGTAATTTTTAAGAAAAAATAATTGTAAATAATTAATTCAGTCAAAAAGTATTGTTGTCCGACAAATTTCAAGCCGCGTTTTTTCAGTCCGACAGCTGGAAATCGGAATTTTCACGGGGTATGATAAATCGATTACCACATGTCGGACAAAACTAACACACGATAGAAAAGTGTTTTTTATAAGCAAATTTTGTAATGTCCAACAAAAATATTTCAGCAAATCGTCAGTCCGACAAAAAATGATGAAAAAAATTTCGTAAAAAATGTGCACATGTATTTATAATTTCTAATAAGTATTTTCATGTATTAAGCAAAATTCCGTATAAATATACAATACAGGGTGTTTCAGAAAGACCTCCCGTAAATACAGGGGTTGTGGACGACAAAAAATAAGAATTTTTTGTCATATGAACTATATGTCTATCTCCTCTTCTCAAAGCTCAAGCTTACTTTGAGAAAAGTCACTTATTTTATAGTGTAATATTGTAAGAGTTTAATTAAAAGCCTTTTTTCTCGAAAATCGTCCAC